TCGGGGTGCGACCAGAGTCACGGAACGAATTAAATTCGTAACCCGAGGTTCCACTGTATACGGCATTTTCCAAACATTGGACTTCACCTCCTGGAATTCTCAGCTAGCGTGGTGGTTCTAAATTGCTTTCCAGTTCCAGCTCAGGGCACCAGGTTGGAGAATATATAAATATGTAAACATTATAAAGCAAAGTATCTTGGGGCAATGCACAGAGATTTAAAAGAACAATCCCTTCTCATGGACTCATGATCTGATACAAAAGGAAAAAGGATCAGGGAGGGAAGAGGAAAATAAAGCAAGGGCAGGTCGTCAACCTTATCGGAAAGTACACTGTTGCATCCAGCTTGAAAGAGATTCCTAGAAAAAGTAATTCACCCAGGGGAATGGAATACACTGCTCCTTCCCTCCTCTCCTGTAGCCAGGCAGAAAGATTATGAATGGAAACAAGTTCCACTGAACGCACAGAGATTTATTTCTGAATGAGCACTATTTATCTACTCACTGGTTTAATGTTCATACCATCATATTCCACAGACTTCTGGCAGTTTTCCAGCACAATAATAGTTTCAGGTACACATATACAGCAAAGCAACAATAGATTAAAGCCACAGTGTAATCAATTCAAGGACTCCAACAGCAAAACAAAAAAATAAAAGGTCTATAATATAAATAAATAATATAAAAATAAGAGGTGACAGATCTTAGCCAAAAGCCTTTTTGAACAACTCTACTGTAACTGCTTCTCTAAAGCAGTGTTTCTCAACCTTGGCAACTTTAAGATGTATGGACTTCAACCATGCTGGCTGAGGAATTCTGGGAGTTGAAGTCCACACATCTTAAAGTTGCCACGGTTGAGAAATATCGTTCTAAAGGACAGGAACAAAGCGCTATTCAGATTTCCAGTAGAAGGTTGTTCTATCGGCCCACCTTGATTCTCTTGGGTATAAGAGAAACACTGTCTGGCTTTCAAGATTCTACTCTTATAGCCTTGATCAATAAAGGGGAGGTCTAGTATTCCTTGTAGGGCCTGTTCCCTGACCTGGCCTACCTCAAAGGGTCGACACCACCCTTTTATCCTTTAAAAACCAGCTGAAGACCTACTGAGTGAGTTTGGAAGAGAGCAGAAGATTTTTTAAAAAACGTTTCATATTCTGGATTTATGTATTCTTGTAAGCTGCCCGGAGTGACTCAAATGGCAGCATACAAATCATTGCAATCGATAAATCAACTCAAATGCATAAACATGCAGCCTGAATACGAATTGCCCATAAGTATCTGCACAGACATTATTTTTATTCATTTACTGGCTTACCCTCCAACAGTTCCACCTGTTCATGTAACCATAGTTTCCTGGTTTCTTCTTTCACCCTGGCTGAGGAGTAACATCTCACCCCCACAGAGAGGCTCCCTAAAAAATGAGAGGAGGTTGACTGTTATGGGAACTGGTTCCAAAGTGTCAACAGGCAGAGAACAAATCAGCTTCTATCCTTCCTGCTTTACCTCCCAGACAATGGAGCTTAGCAGCAAGGCAGGTAGTTACCAGAGAAAAGTGGTGATCCTCCAGCTGTAAAACACCCTCCACAGCATAATCAACCAAATGAGGTCTGTTCTATTTTCCAAAGCATTTGAGAAAGATTTCAGTGTTTCAGAAAGGCAGAGGGTTGTTACTGCTTCACTATGATTGGATTCTTTCTTTCTTGTGGAGTCCATCCTTCCTTCCTTGATATAATTTCAGAAGATATAGTACTGATGTGGGAAAAGACGCTACATTTATTGCTGCTCCAGATTTTTACTTATCCATTATGCTAGTTTCAATGTGGGCTTTTATATTGTTGACGTAACAAGTCTATATTGGTTTTGTAAGGACTTTCTTATCTATCACCCAGAGAACTCCTGTTTCTGGGCATCACAAATGTGCAGTCAACCCATTTATCCCATCTGCGTGTTTCAGGTTGGTAAGGGAGGTAGTATATAAGCTTGACAAAGCAGGTAGTGGAAAAGGAGTATATGGCCTCCTCTGAATTGCAGAAAAGCATTTCATATCCGGCAAGGCTATTTATTCATCGGGTTCAAAGCAGCTTAATCTGGTTGGGGCTGACATTCCAGAATTTGAAGAGGTTCTCTTTCATATATATGACAGAAAATCATGGATGGGAGCTTGATCCATTATATCACCCTTTCCCCAACCCTCGGTAGGAGCGGGGATCAGTTCCTTCTTATTTAAGGAAGGCAAAGCGTCCTCTTAATGGTCGTATTCACACCTGCTTTTCTAGATTATCAAGCACCTCAAACCAAATGAGGTTAGGGTTCCTCCAATATGCCAACCGCCCCACCCCCCAGGAAAAATCCTAACCAAGTTTAGAATATTCTACAAATGAAGCTGCTGCAGCTTTCACTGACCAGGTTAAGTTGCGGGAAGTAGTTCTGAGAAAAAGCTGC